AATTCTTTCACCACTGAAGATCCAAAGATCTTCCCCTTTTCCAGGAACAACTCCAAATCCTGTTCAACACCCCTGGGTCCTTCCCAGCAACATCCTGAACTCCTTCMCCATCCCAAACCCAAATTCATCCCGTTCCATCCCACACCTTGAAGTGGAGATGCTCCTGCTGTTGTTTTCACTCCATAACTCTGTCAATTCTTTTCCAGGTAAGAACAGTTTAAATGTGTCAGGAGTAAATGTCTCTGGCATTTTGGGCTAGAAATGATCTGCTCAAGGCATAAAAGGAATGGAAAACCTGGTCACTGAGTTGATATTTGGAATTCTTGGCTCTGCTTAACTCCTGAAGGATATTTCCCATCCCGTCCCTACTGTCAAAAAAGAGATAGCAGCAACTCCATCAGCAGGCAGACTTTAAAAAATAATTATATCCAAAGTCAAACGTGCTTGGAGGAATGGAATAAATGCTTAATATTCTTAATGGAACGTACTGGGTGAGAAACATTAATTAATAATTTACTTTCATTATCTCTTTGCCCTCCTYGAGCRATCTGACGGGTAAACTGTGGAAGTRAAATGTATTTTTAAATCTCCAACGATGTCAAATATATCTCAGAAGGCTGAATCCAACCTCTTAATTAAAGAGGTGGGTTATTTAAGTTACATATGCCATCTTGCCATAACATGGAAGACTTTAATTAGTTAAGGAGAAAGAGGATGAGAAGTTGAATCGAGGCCAGTGACAGCAGCAAGCGAATATCTAAAAATGYGTTTTCTAAAAAAGAAATTGTTCCCATTGCTCCTGTGAGCACAGTGGTGGGAACTGTGCTGGGAGAACTGAATACCCACGGCCACAGGTCTGCTCTGAACTGAGATTCACGAGGATTTCAGTGCAGAGAAGCTGGAAAGGAACTGGAAGGTTTAAATAGGGGCTTAAGGAAGTTTTGAAATTCTTCCGTCAATTTGGTGGTGATAGAAACCTGCTAGTTTTGCTAAATTTGACTCAGAGTCCCTCTAAGCATCTTTACATGCCAAAAAAATGTGGAAACCTGCCTGATAAGTGGAGAACAGCACTATGGAAAAATTTGGTCAAGAAACTCAGGGGCAAAAACGGACCATGGGCTCTGAAATGCTCAGAGGCCAACAGAGACTGACAAAAACAGATTTAAAAGGCACAGGACACCCTATGGCAGATGGTTTTTGAGAATCCAGCAAGAGATCAGGGGAAATGATGATATTTTTGGGTCACCATCAGATACGGTGGGTGAAGGGCAAGGATGGTGTTTAGCCAACCCTCCAGCTGCAGGATGTTCTGAGATTTTTTTTAAGGAAAAAGGGGTATTAACTCCTATCACTGCACTGTGTTGAGAGAGCAGAGAGCTCGAGAAGAACAGGGCAACCAGTAATGGTGAGGCTCCCAAAGTGACACCCTGGGAATGGGATTTGGGGTGGCACCCAGAGCCAGTGACATTCCCACCTCCAGGAGCGAGTGACATTCCCTGCTCCAAGGGACACTGGGATTTGGGGTGGAGACAGTGACATTCCCTGCTCCAAGGGACTGGGATTTGGAGTGGCACCCAGCAGTCAGTGTCATTCCCTGCTCCAAGGGACACTGGGATTTGGGGTGGAGCCAGTGACATTCCCTGCTCCAAGGGACTGGGATTTGGGGTGGAGCCAGTGACATTCCCTACTCCAAGGGACTGGGATTTGGGGTGGAGCCAGTGACATTCCCTGCTCCAAGGGACTGGGATTTGGAGTGGCACCCAGCAGTCAGTGTCATTCCCTGCTCCAAGGGACACTGGGATTTGGGGTGGAGCCAGTGACATTCCCTGCTCCAAGGGACTGGGATTTGGGGTGAAGTCAGTGACATTCCCTGCTCTGAGGAAACCTCCACCTGCAGACAGATGAAAACTTGGGATGAGTCCAGTGGAGCTCATGGCTCATCCTCCTCATCTCCACAACTCCACAATGAGCTCAAGCAGGCCCTGGGCACTGTCCCCACACTGTCACACAACCAAATGTCCTTTTTGTGTCCCCAATTCCCCGGGAGTGACACRCACACGGAGCAGGGAACAGAAAATCGGGAGGAGCAGCTTTGCATAGAAAACCGAACTGGGTTCAGTCCCCGCTGTTTGAAGTCACCATTCATTTGGATCATTATTTCATTCAYTGGGATCATTATTTAACTTTCCAGAGGAGCTGTGTTCCAAGTGTCACTAATAACTCTGGTATTAAACAGAATTAGGGGGCGGGAGATGTGCTGTTTTCAATCCCACAAAAGACAGAAATCCTTTTAATCGCGGCCGCGCCAATCACCGCGGTTGCAAAGCCGCTAATTACAAGCCAGGGACACCCGGCCATTCCAAAGAGCTGCCATCCCTGCGCCTGCCATCGTCCCCTGCATGTCCCCTGCCCATCCCAATTCCCCTGGCAYTGAGAGGAGTGTGCTGAGTGTTTTGATCAGCGGGACACACCCGCTGCCATCCAGTGAATGGCACAGGGAGCTCCTGCCAAGGCAGCTGAGCAGAGATGCTCTGCACACACAGAAATATCAAAARCCCAGCACAGCCCATTCCAGTTCCATGGCTCAGTTCAGCCCTGCTGGAGCTGTTGGCTGGAGCACTCCAGACCTTCTGAAAGAATGGAAAAGAGCTCCAGAGCGCAGCCAGCAAACCTGCTGGCTGATCAGCCTGGTTAAAAGGGGCATTTCAAAGGTTTTGTGTATTTTCCTGTTTCAAATGGCAAATCCTTTTCTAGCTCAGAGTTGGGGCTGCCCCTGGATTCCCTGAAGTGTCCAAGGCCARSTTGGATGGGGTTGGAGTAATCTGGAATAGTGGAAGGAACWGGATGGGMTTTAAAATCCCTTCCCACTCATCCYATTCCAYGATTCTCTGAYAYAAACTRCAAAAAAACAAACAATTCCTATTTTTAACTGACAAAACCTAAGGCCAAGAATACCAACAAACTCTTCAGTAGAGAGTCTTTTTCTTTTAAAATTTTTTTCCCTCTGCCTCCCTGCTGCCACTGAGATAAACTTCCATGGGTTTGATTTGATTTGCATTTGTTGGACAAAACCCAACATCAAATCGCTGTCACCTTCMTGACAGTCCTCAAAACACCCATCCACCCTTTTCTAGTTGTAACACATTTCTCACACAGGAGAAAGATAATTTCAATGTATTTTAAATTTGGATTTGTAGCTGCCACCTCTAGAATGCCTCTGGTTTTCATTAATGTGTGACATCTTCAGTYAGACAGTTTAAACCCCATAAATTTGACAACAGAAATGAAGGTTTTAGGGTTTGCCAAATCCCTTYTGGCCAATAACTGATCTAATATCCTGAGTAAATATCCAGCTGCCCAACAACCCAAGGGGGAATGGTTTAGCTTGAAAAATCTCTATAATTCTTCTTGGGAACTGCAAGGTATTTTTTTGGTCAGGCCATCAACCTTCCCTTCAAGGAATCACAGTGAAAACTCCACAGAAGTCCTTTAAAAAGGCTGGGATCAGGATCCAAGCCCTGACTGCTGCTACAAACACACAAAATCCATGGAATGAAGTCATATTAAAGTCACTGACATGTTACACAGCTTTAAGACCAACCCTGCCAACAAAAAWTTCCTGCCAAAAGCTGCACCAAACCAAAGATTATTGCCTACTTAAGACTTTGATTAAAATAATATCATCAAGTTAAATAATGTGAAAGAGTGCAAGAGCTACTTGAGTGGGAAAACTCAGATAAAATAAGAGCAAAGTTTTGAAAAAAMCCCCAAAATTTGCTGATAATTATACAATGAGTTTGAAAGGAGCTGATGAGCACTGGGAAGTGGGGACTGCACCAGGAATGTTATTAAAAATATMAATTAAAATGAGCAGAATTCCAGGGATAAAGAGGAAGGGCTGGAAAACATCACCAACTCAACACCCACAGCTCAGGGTTACAGGCAAAAATCTCACACTGAATTTAGAGCTTTGCAAAGAAAAGTGTGAGCTCTGGATTCCAGTTAGGATCACACACAGTGATCCAACATCCTGCATTAAGGCAGCTTCAAACTTGGAGTTTGGAAATTTCTTACACCAGTTTTAGTGGATTTATCGATATGAAAAATAAAACCTATTTCTTCTTACAACTACCACATTTTTTTCCTAGAAGTGGCCAACAGCACAGACTTAAAGAAAGAAGGATCCAAGTGAGCTTAATCAGACTTTTTTCCAGCCAAACCCCTTCAGCTTCTGATAATCACCAATTTGTGATTTACTGACCCAAAATTATCACAGTAGTCACCAGTGGGGCTTGAGTTAACCACCATTTTTCCTGAAACAGGTTCAGCTCTGTGGAATTTTTCACTTGCACTCCCAGCAGCGAGACAAAGATAAATCTTCACAAACGAAGGCAAAAACTGATCTACAAATCACAAACGTTACAAAAACATGTAAAACTTACCACTCTGATGTTAGGCAATGAAACAAACAGAATAAGTCAAATATCCCTGAAGAACTGTGTAAACAGAGCAAATAATTAATGAGATCTCTAAACTTATGGCTTGATTGGAGCCTGGAGCCAGACCCTGCAAATAAAGCTCCTCTGTATTAGAAGGCTAGAAAAGATAAYTTTTATGAACAGCAAAACTGAAAAAAAATCCTCAAAAAATTCAGAGAATTTCTTCGAACAGGTCAACATGTACAAAGCAGAACCAGGGAACACCTCAACCTGAGCAGGTCTGCASAGAACCAGAGAATAATTCAGGTCAGAAGAGACCTCTGGAGGTCTCTGATCCAACCCAGTCCAGTTGAGTTTTGAGTATCCCCAAAGATGGGAATTCCACTGCCTTTCTGGGCCACAGTTCTACCACGGAGCATAAAAATATTTCTGTTTATATTCATCTGGGACTTTCTTTACTGCACTTTTAGCCCTCTGCCCCTCTGGTTTTTGCTGTGCTCCTCTGAGAAGAACCTGGCTCCATYTGCTCAGGAATCATGGAATACCCTGAGTTGGAACAGACTCAAAAGGATCATCTAAGTCCAACTCTTGATCCTGCACAGAACCTTTAAGTTGAAAGGAACTTAAGACAGCTAAACCCCCAAATCTGGGATGTCCCCAGAGCCAGCTAAACCCCCAAATCTGGGATGTCCCCAAAGCCAGCCTGGACAATTCCAGCTCCTGAACCCTCCCACCTCATGACACGTCCTCCAACCCTCCCAGCTCCCCTGTCCTGCCCAAACAATGGTCCCAMAAATGATGGACAGAGGGGATTAATCCCTTTCCATGACCTCCTGAAGGCTCTTAATGAGATTCCCTAATTAAAGGGTGCGCTGCAGACTCACGTCTGACACAGGATTTCACTCTGACCACGGGTGTGTCCACAGAGCATTTAGATCAACAGAAAACAAATCTGCTGCTTTTGATCAACTCCTGAGGCTTCTGTAAATGTTTGGGATCTCATACTTCACAAAAAAGAGTGGGGGAACTGAAAAAACCCAACACCAAAACAATCCAGAAAAGAAGTGGAGGTAGAAATTGTTGTTTTAAGAAGACGRTAAGAGACAACAACTCAAGTAAAAGGACTTTATGAGGGCCAAAACATCAGCCAGAACTCACTCTGCGAAGGTAAAAGCAATCACAGATGAGGATTCCTAAATTCACGACTTCCCTGTTCACAGAACAAAAAGGCAGCTCCGGTCTGCCCCCAGAGCCATTTCAAGGGAACCAACAGAGAATAAACCACAGCGACCCCGGACTGGCTGCACCAAACTGCCCCTCCGCTGCAGGGTGACAAAAATGAGGCTTCATTGCCTAGGAAATTAGGACAAAAAGACAAAATCGACTCTCCCACATCATGGAAAAGCCTCCAGAATGAGGCTAAACTCCAGGACAGCACCTCCAGCAATTCTGTTGCTCACTCCCGATCCCGTTTGCGCATCTCGGCACCGTCACAGCCGCGCCCGCCCCATCACAGCTCATCCACCTCACACCAAAAAGGGATGAAACGGCTGCAAACACTCACTCTGAACTTCCACACGAAGGGAACAACCTGCCACGAGCACCCTGGGGACAGCTGAGGTCCCGCTCGTCCCTCTCAGTGCCCAAAGAGCAGCCGGAACAGGCACACCCCAAACAGTGACCCCAGTGAGCCAAGGGGCTGATTGCTCAGCTTTTTGTTGTTTTCCCCGGTATGATGATGAGGTGGGAAAGCAGAAAACTCGTATTTTCCAGGGAGCCACAGCCCAGGGGATGTGCCCATCCCCAGTTGCTCACAAAGGGTTTTTTGGGGGGTTTTTTTACCTGTTTAACCTTCAGAGAAGAGACTGGTGCATGATGGCAGGAGCTCCCTGACAGTGACAAACAGAATTAAGAGCAGATTATTCTACATTAGATGGCACAGACACCCAATTTCAGTGGTGTTACTTTGATCCTGCAGCACATGAACCTCTAATCAGGATCCAGAAGTTCTCATACTATTTTTATTCTTCCCTATTGCTTTAAAAAGGCAAAGCCTCAAACAGCGCCTTTTTTTTTTTTTTTTTACAGATACTACAGTAAGCAATATTTCTTTTAAAATTGCAGCTGTCCAACAGTTTGAGTCTGTTCTTTTGAAAATGAAACAGCCAGAACAAATGGTGGTGGCAAGCCCAACGTAAAGAGGTCATCGATTATTAAAATCTCCTTACTATAAATCGTGGATGTTGCTTGTCAGCTCGCCGTGTGACTGTGGAATGAGTAAGTAGGTAAAATTCCACTAAGGCTCGAGTTTGCTCCATCATTCTGCTGTGCAAAAATAGAAATAAAAGCTCTCCTCATCCTCTCCACCCTCAGTTCCAAAACATTCATACAGGCAGGAAGGAAATAACTGCAGTGGTGCAATGGTTTTGGTGCAAGCCCTGCCTTTCCCAAGCCTGCCCTGGTGCTATTCGTGAATTTGCCTACTCGAGAAATACAACAGAACAGMAAAAATGATGGCTTCCTTCTGCTCCAGTGGTCTGTATCTAAGGAAAGCACATAAATTTTCCAATAAATCCCTAAGTGGAAGTTGAGGCTGAGACCTACCAACAGATATTCAGAGGGACAAAGAGGTGGCACCACGGTGCCCTCTGCGAGCACGGGATCTCCTCGGCTCTTGGGAGAGCAGTTTGCACCAGAGGGACAGAGGAGATACAGATCTGGAGGGCTCAGCCTGGCTAAAACCCTGCTGAGGGGCTGCACTGGGGGGTCACGGTACTCTCTGGGAGTGAAGAGGGAGGAAGGGATGAGAACAAGGTGAGCAACAGCAAAACTTCCCTTGGCTCCCTCCGCCTCGAAAGCGGGGGGAGAAAAGGGAAAACCATCCTACAAACAGAGCTGTTTCCCCTCTTTTCAAGCAATTCCCACACAAACCCAAGTGGGAAGACRAAACGGAATGTCGAGGAAACGCTATGCAAACTTTCATATAAATATCTCTGTGCAAAACCTTCCACAGGTTTTTAATTGAATTCTTTGTTAATGTACGGCAGCCCTGCCCGTCTCTAACACTTCCCGTGCTGTTTCCATCAAAACGTTTCCTCTTACCGGCAGCAACATATCATTTTATCAGGATGCCAGGAGATCATTTCCACACAATGCTAGCAGATGTAATTTTCTTAGATGCACACACAGTTCATCATTTAGATACTAGATGACAAGGTGATCGCAGGGTGACTCTGTAATGCGAGTTTGCHGTTTGGTATTTGGAATTCTCAAATGATAAAAAAAAGACTTATCAAATATAAATATCTTTAAGAAAAAAGTAACAAAAGTGCTACATATGATCAAGGAAAACAATTCCATTAGTTCCTGCTACTTAGAGTAGGTTTGCTTTACAAATATTACCACATCCATTATCAGTATGGCTTCCAATTATTAATTAAATTGCTCGTAGCAGTATCRCTTTCTCACACCTTAACGAAGACAGAGTAAAGAGAACACAAAACATTCACACCCCATTCCTCAGGTAAGAGATCCTCCTGCCTTTAAACAAACAAAAAAAGTTCGTTATTTAGGAGAATATTTATRCTCTGATGGATTCTCCGGTAACCCTTCAGGCTAGTCAGGACGTAGGCATTACTTACACAGACGTGTAAACATCCACTCACCCATTTCAGGACCTTAACAACCTTCCTGGAAAACATTGCTTTCGAAAGTGGCCAAGTGGAAAGGGCAGAAGGGTGGGGACAGAAAAGGTGAGAGAGGAGGAAGAAAAGGTGAAATTGTTAATGACAGATGGAGAAGAGTCTAAGACCTCTTCTGAGCAGGCACTGCCAGCCGTGCCAAGAACGAGCAGTGGTTCTGAGAAGCAGACATTCGTCCCTTAAACATTCAGCTCATCTTTCATTTGATCCCAGGCTGGGCTTCAAGCACGGTCCCAGAGGCAGAAGGCAGCGCTCCTCCACCAAGCCACGCAGCTTTGTGAGAGCAGAGAACGTCCATGGTGACCAGCGAGCGGAATGCGGGAATGCGTTTCCAATGGACATTCTCAGCACAGCACCCGAAGTAAAYGGAGTCACCGGATGACCAGTGAGGCACGGCTTATTGCAGCTGGAAATTGTTGGYTCCCACGCTGGACTGGGGGTTCCAAGTGTTCTTTTTACTCTCTGCTGATGCTCCCGATGTGGTGTCCATCGACCCTGTGCCACTACCTCAGCTTGCATCCTTTCAGTCTGGGGGAAGGGGGAGCGTACAGACTATCGCTTTCGACACCATCTCTAAGGTTATCCAAGATTTTAAGTGTAGCCTAAGACTTGTCATTGAGGGCTGTCTAAAATACCTGGAAGCACTTTGAATGCTAAGACAGAGCAGCAAGATTATTTCTCTTTTTTTTTTTTTTTTTTTTTTTTTTTTTTTTTTTTTTTTTTTTTTTTTTTTTTTTTTTTTTTTTTTTTTTTTTTTTAATCTTTCTAGCCACTGGGGGCCGGGAGAGGGAGGTTGGTTGGTTGATTGATTATTTATTGGGAATTAATACTGAGAGAGTATATGCAAAGGCTGAGGGCACCATGCCATCTTCACAGAACAAGACCCTAACAGCTAACTGACGTACAAGAAACTGCAAAGTTATACTGTAAGAACACATATTAAGGACCGAGGAAAGTCTGCTAAGGTGCTACGTCTAAAACTAAGTTACTTCTTGCTTTGACCCTCCCCTCTCTTGGTATCAGTCGTCGTCGAGAGCCTCTGTCTTGATCTCGTTGGCTCCTTGCCGGGCCAGCGCCAGGATGGTGTGGTTGACCGCTGCCATCTCCACGGCTAAGGAAATGGGGTCTTGGTGGTCACTGTGGCTAGTGCTGTCATCCTGGGAGCCGTGGGGGAAGGAGCAGAGAGAGGCAGGGTTACTGAGGGGTACAAAACTGCAGCGGGGAGAAAAAAC